TGCTGCATCTCCATGACCAAGAAATTAAATAATTGAGATTTATCGCCTCACCGTGCCGACAGGATTTGAAGAGGTTCTTCCACGTAATGTAGCAGCAGGGTTCTTCAACCACCTCTCGCTTGTTTACGTGGCCGTAAACGTCCCGAAAGAGTCTCCTTAACTCTGCACCCGAGCAACGTGATTCTCGGAAAATTCGTACATCAGTCAGTCTCAAGATTTCCGTTTCATTTCTGTAACTTCTCTGCATTATTTCTGCACGTATAAACGAACTTTGCCACGGTCGTTGCTCGCCGACTGTTGTTCCTGGAATTATTGCAGCGTTCTCGCGAACCACTTGTTCGTTCGCGTCGTCTCGACGTTAAACAATTAACGTCTAGTATCCAATCCTGAAGTATTTGCTCGAGGTTCATTCTAGACTCATTGTTACTTTACAGCAGACCCACTCAAACTGTGGGTTGCGTAAAAATTTGTTGAGGTTTTTTATTATTTTGATATATCAAAGTATTTTGTTCGTGTATACAAATACAGTTAATGCGTTCCTGGTTTTAGATTCGAGTTTAATCTAAATAGTATAAAAATGTAGAATCGTTGAGTCTATTTATTTATTGGTTAACAAGAAATCTTTCTTCTGTGACGATGATGATTATAGTCTACAATGTGATCTGCACAATTTTGAGTGTAGATAGAAAATATAGAGGGATTATTTATATTATATTTGTATCCAAACAGTACGGTGAGGATAGAACCATTAGAGCCTTTTAATTATTGGTTGGCAAGAAACGTTTAGCCAAAATCTTTCTTCCGTGACGATGATGATTATAATCTACAATGTGATCTGCACGATTTGAGTATAGATAAACAATATAGAAAAATTATTTATATTATATTTGTATCCAAACAGTACGGTGAGGATAGACATTGGTCTTCGGTGATCATTGCATTGCATTCTCGAGGCATATATGTAAAATTCCATAGGAATTCCTGAAATACATTCAGACACATACTTCACGAGCAATCGATCGTGAAACCCAGACGATCATTCAATCTCATTCGTACTGGTCGAAGCATTTGTAAAGTGCATTTAACAGGTGATCAATTTATATACTCCTACGTCCTAACTTACATTTTATATGCACATCAGGTATGTAACTCACAATCAGTACTGAGAAATCATCAACTTTGCCTGCTTTCTTTCTTGTGGCTATAAACCACTGCAATTGCAGAGTCTATACATTTACTTGAATGTTTGCATCATTTTGTGTTGATATCTTGAATCTATCCAAAATTACTTTTAAACGTTTAAGTCGAATCATAGCAGTGAGTACTTCAAAGTAACAAAGAAAAAATTCAGTTTCTTCGAATTTATTTTGATGAACTCTTTACAGGAGTCCATGTTGGGAAAAAGTATGGCATTTCGATAAAAAAAATCACAAAGACTTGGTCTCCTAAAGTAACTATTTTCTCGTGTGTTTTTCACTTGAAATTAAGTAACCTTTTTAGGAAATATTTCTTCTCACGTGGAGTAATATACAAAATTATTTGAGTAGTTCTTTGAAGTGTCTAACTCCATACACATTATATTCAAAGTACTTTTCTCATACAATCTATTTTTCACAAAGTTATGATCTGTAACTTATGATTAGGCGTGGTTTCTGATTGTAATGCGGCAATCATCTTATAGTGGCACCTCGTGTACTTATCTTTATTGGTTTCATTATCAATTCCTTTTGTAGGAAGTTTCCATCTAGTCGTTGGCTTCTACCTTTGTTGTATCATAAATTGGCCACAGGCTGTAATAATACCAAGTCCGTTAAATGACTATACCAACGAATTTTCAAGTAGACTAATAATAATTCTTTCTTTATCTATAATTTCCTGGAACTTTTCAAATTATTAAAGTTCTTTACAGTCATTCTTTGACTCGTTTCGTACCGTCCAAGTCACGATTACATATCATTGCTTCTACTCGCACATTAGTACATCACTCTATGGTTGATGTATTGTAAACGTTAGAAGCCGATTAACGGAATTCAAAATTTGAATACATAAATAGTTCATTTATTTTGTACGCTATATACTGATTAATCAAACTTCAAGTTTTGTACAATACGAGCCTTTGGTTCCTAAACTTGTATTTGATTATTCATGGGCTAAACAAAAGTGCTGGAAAGTGGGATGTTTTGTAGAAAATACAAATTTATAGAAATTTAATCTGTATTGGATGGAAACCAATTCTACAGCCAAATCAAAAACTGTCATGGCCACTGATTAATCAAACTTCAAGTTTTGTACAATATGAGACTTTGGTTCCTAAACTTGTATTTGATTGTTCATAGGCTAAACACAAGTGCTGAAAAGTGGGATATTTTTTAGAAAATACACATTTATAGAAATTTAATCTGTATTGGGTGACAAACCAATTCTATAGCAAAAACTGTCATGGCCACGACAAATCAGATATTTTAGAATATAGACAAAACAGTTCATTATTTACTTGTTAAAACTGACAAATCTATTGCTGTAATATTGCAAAAGTAGCTGAAAAATAGCAACAATATCTCCATATTTTTTGTTGTTATATTGGATTACAAATCAATTTCATAGCAACCTCAAAAACTGTCGTGGCCACGTGAAGTTAGATATTTTATAATATAGACAAAACAGTTCATTATTTACTTGTTAAAACTGACAAATTTTCTGTAAAATTGCAACAATATCTCCATAATGTTTGTTGTTATACTGGATTACAAATCAATTTCATAGCAACCTCAAAAACTGTCATGGCCACGTGAAGTTAGATATCTTAGAATATAGACAAAGCAGTTCATTATTTACTTATTAAAACTGACAAATTTGCTGTAATGTTGCAAAAGTAGCTGAAACATTGCAACAATATCTCGATAATGTTTTGTGTTATATTGGATTACAAACCAATTTCATGGCAAACACAAAAACCGTCTTCGCCACGCCAAGTCAGCCCTTTTACAATATCCATGAAAGACTCTCACGAAAGATTTCTTTGTCATTCCCTAAACGTTTTTCCGTAGTTCCATGCAAAATTAGACATTCCTGTTTCATAGTCGCCCCAAGCCGACCGCGTTATCCGCGCGGCGAAAATGGAGCGAAGCTTCACCGGAATAATTTGCAGTTTTCACGAACGGCGGAGCAAAGAGGATAAGTTCGGAAGTAGCGGTGCTCGCATAAGTTAGTTAAAGTTAAGTTGTTCAGAGGGAGAATTTGTTTTTGCAAGTAGGTGAAAGTTGGGTATATAATGCGCTTTATAACGATCCACGACGAGTTAGGAATTCTTACGAGATTTTAATACACACGCTTGCGCGCCCTATCCCCGTTTATTCTCTCTAGTTCGCGCCAAATTATTTTACGACCCCTGCGTTCGGTGCTATCGCAATGCACAATCCTACGCTAGTTGTTTCTACGCGTTCCTCTTGCAATTTGACGAACTCACGGTTAGAAGTTGTATTCTGCGCGCTTTCCTTCGTAACCCGAAAATCCTGATTTCTCAGAAACCGCCCATTCGTCCAGACAGTGTATTTAATTAAATCGAAGGAACAAAATTAAAAATTTTTGTTAAATTACAATGAAAATATTTCTTTTTCACTTATAAGTCGTTGATTGATCGTCTAGGTAATAAAATTAATTTAAACTTTAACAAATATAACTTATGGAATTGCAATCAAATAGACATGAAAGTTTTTGAATAATGGTTGAACCATATGAAATGTGGTATTAGTAAACAAAGTTCAACGAATGTTTCGTTAAATCCATGAAACGAATAGTAGAAAGCAAGGAATAGGGAAGAACAATTTTCTAAAACAATTTGTGTCTTTTTGTTGCTATAAATTTGAAAATGACAAGGGATACAAAAATATTGATTTGGATACTTGCTTATTGGTGCAAATCACTTTTTTGAAGGTCTGGTCGGGAGAAACATATTTATGAGAATGTATAAAAGTAGGAAAAATAAATCTAAAGAAAACGTATGAGATGAGAAATACATATATTTAGAACTGTATCGATATAAGAATACAAGAACAAATATTTACTAAATGAAAGAATAAAATAACATATGATAATAATATGTTAAAATGATGCAATTATAACGTTAATATTAAATGAAAATATATTTAATGGAATTACTATATTTTAATTTTCTCTTCGGTTTCACACAAAATAATTTTTCTTTTCCGAAAGAAAAAGAATATAACGTGATCATAATTAAATCAGAAAACGGGGAGAATTTTTTAAAAGCAACATCCGAGAGAAATCAAAGATGGTATTTTATTCCAAGGGAAAAATTATGTACGAGACGTGCCGCTTGTAAAGCACAAAAATTGCACAAAAAGATTTTGTAGCACATGTGGTGTATGAATTATGAAACGGTCTTGGCCGTTCGGACGCGTATAACATTTGTAGATTGAGAAATGGCTTTGATATTTGAATTAGGGGAAATGCTATAAGCTGCAATATAATTAGATAAATAGAACACAGAAACTACGTTACGTGTGTTTTATAATTTAAATAAAACTATCGCTGCGCTCTATATTCTTTTGTGAACACTAAGTATTGTACCATTTAACAATAATTTAAAAAACACATTATTTTAGTAAACCAATAAGAACATCTTTAACAACTATTTATATAAAATAAATTCTTGAATACTATAAATATTTTTCGTAGAACTACGATTTACGTTGAAAGGTTAAAAATCGTTTCCAAATTTCGTTTCACAATTGGTGATTTCGTTCCAAGTAACAATACTAGAGTTTCTTTGTTAATTAGAACATTGTCGAACGTTAATTGCCCCTCTGGAAAGTTGATACCATTGTTGTTTGTGGTAAGATAAAGTTAAAACTATCCATGTAGTTAGTCAACGACGTGGAATCGGGAAAGTTGTATCGTTGTTCGGAAAGACGTTGTCATTTTCGTTGTTGTTTCTTGTCGAACTTACACGAACTCCGATTCTCTGTTTCTTTTTCCAGTAAAGCCACAGGTCGTACAGATTTTGACGAAGGAGCCTCGAGTTTCCTCTGACAAGAACTACGACGTGGAGTGCAGGACAAGTGGTTCCAGGCCAGCAGCGGTAATTACTTGGTGGAAGGGGGAAAAGCAGATTAACAAAATGGCGCAAAATGTAAGTTTTGTCAGGTGTAATTTATCTAAAGTGTAATAGTATTTATGGGCCTTGATGTAAAACATGTTTTACAACGAACAGTTCATTTATCACGAAAATATTATTACGCGGAGATAAAAACTTACTACAAAATTAAAGAACAATTGCGTGTGACAGTTTACGTAACGCGTTGAACAATTTGCAGGGATATTTCAGAGGTCGGAACTGGCATAAAGATCTGAGTAAATATAACGTTGAAAGCTCTTTCGCGTATAATACGAGTGTTGCTGATACTTTGACATTGAAAGTTATTAAAAAGTGTTAAAAATTAACACACGGATTTAGTAGAAATATTATCGAGTATTAATAATAAGTCGAAAAGTGTGAATAACATTTTTTCGTTCGAGTCTTTGTTCTCGAGATAATTGAATTTAGAGATTTGTCGGATACGCGTACAATTGAATACGATTTTCCTGGCGCGTCTGGCCATTAATCACTTTTTCTACTTGTGCATAAGTCGAAGCCGTACTCTACTGCACGCATGCTCGATGACTCTTCGAAGTCGATTTTCTCTGAAACAAAGCCTCAAACGAAATAATGTTATTCTTCTTTTCTACTTATTTTTATATGTAAAATCACTCTTTGTTTATATGGATAACAACATTAGACGTTTTTAACAGCCTCTGTAAGGTATTTTTAATATATACTATTTCTTGATAATAATTTATAGTAAAACTCCAAAATGTTTTAGCTGATTTTTTATTTTTACTATTACCATTATTACAGAACTTTAAAAAAAAGTAAAGATGTTACATTTGAATAATTACATAATTGTGTGAAGGCATGATGCAGTCTGAAGTTTCTTTTAAAACCTAATTTTAATTTACAATTGATTCTACGTCTAAATTCAAATTTTTAATTTAATTTTATATGTTCGTGATTCTATTCAAGAATAAATATATATTAAATATCGAACAATTTATACCTTACTACTTGCTAAACCGAACTGTTAAATACTCACATCTTTAATACCTAATAAAATCGACGTAAAGAATAATTTTTTAGTTTTTGTTAATATTTCAAATCAACTAAACTAAAACATTTTATATATTATTTCGAATAGTAAATAATATTCTATTTTAATTTATGTCGTGGGTGTAACAATTAGTATTTTATTTAAAGATACTTAAAATAATGGAGCTTTATTTAACTAAAATAAAACGTTTCTTAATTATAAAGTTTCATTCAATATAAACTAAAATATGTTTGTGGCGTCGCCTCCCATGCACGCCACCAGAGGGATCGCGCTCTCACAAGCGCTCACAAGCAAAAGGTTTCTGTTTCTTTTCATCGATTCTCGAACTCGACGTTTAGAACTGGGACGGGCTACTTCGTTGAAATGGTTGGAGAATAAAACCACAGTGTAAAATGTAAATTAATATTTAGTTAACGAATCTTGTTGCAAATAAAAGCGTAATATATGTAGACTAATACAGATAATGAGTTTTTCTGAAATAAACACCACTTGTGATGTTGTTGGAAACCTAAATTATCAATCAACCCTCGTACTATGTTATTAGTAGTGGATACTAATTGACAATCAATGTGAATAAATGTGGATTACAACGAATCCCACTATGTGTTTCAAGAATATGCTAAAATTGAAGAGTTTGGTATCACGATACGACTGTGGCGTCGCCTCCCATGCTCGCCACCAGAGGGATCGCGCTCTCACAAGCGCTCGACCGACCGCTCTGTTGCTATATATGTATACATTCCTCGAACGACTTCCCAATATCCCAGTCGTCTAAGGCAGGACCTGCTAGAAAGCCTTACTTATGATGAATCCCACTAGCAGGCCCGGATGAAACGCACCCTCCTCCTTAAAAAGCCTCTTTATTTTCAGTATTCTTTAAGTAAAGTACTAATTATTCATTTCCATAGTTACATTCACGGCGTAGATTAAAGTAGAGTATTTATTATTTACTGTTTGAAATAATATGTTCTGCTTTTGGAGTCTGAAATACGTTTTTGACTCTTTTGATGCTACATGGGAAACACATTGCACATTACAACAGTCTTCAAAGTACAAATCGAAGGGATGGTAAACGAATGGAAAATGCCACGGCTATTTCAAATCGACCTTTGATATCGATTTTAATCAATGCTGGCGCATTGGGAGTCGCACGTACCAGCATCGTTCGCCTTTTTAATCTAAGGGAAATTCTTTAAGCCGTCGCCGGAACAAGTTTTCGAAATATACCACAATTTACTGGGTAGTTGAAGCAACGAAGTTATTTCGTTTCTCCCGCAGCTGGTCTGGTTTCTTTAGCTTTTTTCGTCCCCGTTCCGATCGAATCGGCCTCTGACACTTTCTTTCGAGCCGACGGAGGTGGTGCACGAGTTCACGTACAAATCCACGATCACGATTCCCCCGTTGCTCTCGATAAATTGCAGAAGATCGAACTTTTCTTTTTTATTTGCGACACTGGTTTTTCCGTTGCCATATCAAAACGGTTTTCCGGTACGTTGCAACGTTAATGTCGTCTTCGTAATCGTCGGGCGTTCTAAAAATCATCCCGTTTCTGACGCTTCTGAATCAGTACTCTCCTTCCTCTTGAACTTCGAGTAACTTAAAATCCTATCTCGTCTGAAAGTACGATCAAAATTGGAAGACCCTAGGGATATGGAAATCGTGTACGAGATTCTATCGATTTTCATTAGAAAAAGGTTATTTATATGCAAGGTAGACAATGGTTTGTGTTTTTAATGGTGATTTTTATTTTCAAAGATATTTTCTTTGCAATTATCAGAGAAAGGAAACGCGAATGGCACACAAGGTTTTTCTTCTTCTGAAAGAAGTTTTTTCTTCGTTAAAAAAATATACTTTAATAACGAAATTCCAATCGAAGAACAATTTTATGGAACAACTTTCCATTATTCATTTGTGAGACTGCAGCGTTCTTTAAATAAGATTTAAAATATTTTATTTCTTATTTAAATGGTGAATAAGTATGGATAATCGACGCCATCAAATATCGATAATCAATGAATGAATTCTCACACTTCAGCAATAATTTGTATTCGACATCCAGAATAAAAATTTAAATAATTTCTTAGTTGATATATTAGTCACTACGTTAAATATTATCGTATATAATAACAAATTATATATTATATAGAAAGAAAACGTATAAAATATATGAATTTCCAAATTTGAGTAATGTATCATTGTATATAACTTTTGCATTCCGTAACATTGTATCAATATGATATTGTACACCGATTTTTAATCATGCCAATTAACATGATTGAAAAGAAACTGACAATTTTCAGGAAAATAAGAAAAATGATACATTTCTTTATTCAGAACCATAATTCTTAACACCGTGTTTTATTAGAATTATATTATTCTGCACCAATTTAATTTTCAAAATTAAAGAAAGGTGTTGGCCTCCTAATTTTGATTTTCTAAAAATTCTTTTACATTTTCTTATTGTCAAAAGCTGTCCGAATTAGTATTCATTCTTAAGCATAAATAGTACAAAAATTACATTTGCTTAAATATTTCTTCAAAGTTCCCATTATACAAATAAAAGTAATAACAGTGATGAATTTAATATTCAACTAATTTTATTGCTTTTCATCCGTGTTTCGTAATCCTCGCTTTTTGTATATTAAATACCACTGTTTCCAAATTATTATTTAAAAAAAAAAATTACCATACCGTCCACAAAATGTAACGGATCGAAACTACGAATGAGAGAAATTAATAAATGCTGATAATCATTATTAAGTAATACTCTTCTGAAATTAAATAATTGTGGAAAGAAGGAAAAAATACTGATGAAAATTGGAAATGTAATTTATAATGAGAAAAAGCTTCTAAGTTGATAGGTTCAAACTCTAAAAATGATATCACAAGAGTAATAAAATCACGGTACCAATTCTTGCACATTTTCTGGCGCATCATAGAACGCATTTTTAATTTAATGTACAGGGCAGCTGGATTATTACGAGTATGTACCTCGAATATCTTTGTCAAAGTTAAATTAAATTGCAGACTGAAAAAAAGCTTTTTGCACTTCGGGCACTGAGCGTAGCAAATGTCGACGATTTTATCATCGAAAAGGTTAATAAATTTAATTTAAAAGTAATGTAGGAATTTTAGGCGGATTGGCTGGCTGGACAAAAGGAATCTCTTTTAACTGGTAATACTAACTGCATTTAACGCGCAACTAAAATACTAAAATAAAAGACGTTCGTATAGACTGCAATTTTGTAGCTCAAACTCACCACGTTCTATTCTAAACCATAAATAGGCTTTTTAATGTGCTGGGTTTTTTCATGACTCTTTGACAGAGAATTCTTTCATTAATTCTACAACACTAAAACAAACTGCAATCCTCTAGCTACGTAATTGTCATAAAGAAACGCTGTAGAATTTCCTTTCAAAATACATTGATCATAAAATTTAATTGTAAACTACTTTCTGAATAAAAATTGAATTGTCTTTTCCTTGCTGTCTTCCTTGGGTAACAGAGCCCCTACTATTGTTTCGGTTACTTGAACGGTGTAATATGAAGTTGGCTATACTTCTCATCAAAACATAAAGAAATAAAAAAAATACAACAATTCTACTTATTTACTATTCTTATTTCTGAAAGTATCAGTTGGCACATTTTTCATTTCTATTTGTAGATCAAGATTTCAACCATAAAATAAACCATTTCAACAAATTCTAATGCTCAAATGAATCACTTAAAAAGACTAATTTCTCTAATTGTAAACTCAGGTACAAACTTGACTACTATTACATCAATGTTTGTTTCACTAAATATTTCTTGGAGAAGAAAGTAACCTCAAGTAGAATGCTAGAAAAAAACTCTAACAAAATAATTATTTAATACGTTAAACCATAGAATAATAGAAACGCTTATGGAACGGCTAATTTTGACATTATTTTTTAAACATATTCTTTAAAACTAGAACTACCAAACCAGTTAAAATGATCCATTCAT